CAGAGGCACCCAGCTGCTGCAGGAGGCCCCTCTGCGGGTCCTGGGAGACTGTCGCTCGCTCACTCCGCTCACCAGCCAGTGCCCGTCGGAGATGCCCTCTCTGGACCAAGGCACTTCCCTGACCGAGCACGATCACATTTTTCTGTTTGAAACGCGCACGGAATTCCTCCCACCTGTCACTCTCTGACCGCTTCCTTCGTTATGTGTCTATCTGTTCAGCTACAAGGGCTTTGCGGGCGCAGGGACTCAGCTTTGGCTTCCTGACTGTTTCCCAGCCCGCTGCGCCTGGTACCTCGAGCCGCAGCGATGACGGGTGGACGGAGAGAATCCCAGGGCAAAGGTGGCACCGCTTTGACGCCACACACACCCGAGACAAGTCCCACCTCTGTCCAGCATGCTCCTCGAATGCTGGGTGCCCTCCAGCAAGAGACTTAACATCTCTGAGGCTCAGCTTTCTCATCCTCACAATGACCCTGGCGGCCACTCTGGGGAGATGGACAGATAAATTATATGTGACCCTGTCTACCACAGGGCTGGGCACAATGGATGGTCCTAATTAATAACTTGCATTTCTTCCAGAAGGAAGAAGACAAATGAATACCTCATCATAGACAAGTAATACGTTTGTAACAAGTTTAAGAGCCTTCACACTCAGTATCTTATGTGCTGGTTCCAACAAGCCTCACAGGGGGGAGGGAGGCAGGGCAGCGACGTTGCACAATCCACAATTACAGACCAAGAGGCCAGAAGCACAGGGAGAGCGGGTTACAAGGGCAGTGTCTCCGCAGGGCTGGGACTGGGGCCGGGTCTCCTTCTTCCTCCAGGGCTGTCCAGGAGGCCCAAGGACACCTGAAATGTGCAGGGTCCAGGATCAGCAGGGGGCGCTGCAGACTCCCCAGTAGGGGCCTGGAGTATGTGGGCAGGTGAGGCGGGAGAAGCAGCCGGTGCACAGCACCCAGCGGGCGGGGTGACGCGCACTGCTCTGCTCAGGCTCTAAGCAACACTGTGCCGAGGAAGGGCCTGGGTCTCCAATACACACAGCCTTACGGGACAGTAGCTTGGGGACGCTGTGCACACAGCCTGCCCAGCTGGGTATCTGCCCAGCTTCCATAAGGTCCTTTTTGAGAGAAACGGGCTCAAGAAGCCACTTGTTTATATTCTCTCTCATCCACCTGCGTCTCTGCTAAAGGACATTCGATATCCACTCTTCCCCGAAACATGCAACACTTCCAGGACAGGCCTCCAGCTTCCGTGACCCGTTATAAAAGGTCCTTCCTGGCCGCCTGGGTGGCCTGGTCAGTTTCTCAACGCTAGGGGCACCACTCCCACAGGCTCTGGCAGGAGGCTCCTCCTGAAGTGGCTCTGACGTCACTTCTACCACAGCGGTTCTCAATCTTCCTCAGGCCGCGACTCTTTCAGACAGTTCCTCGTGTGGTGGTGACCCCCAAACCATAACACTATTGTCATTGCTACTTCATCACTGTCATCTTGCTATTGTTATGCATCGTCATGTAAATAGCTGATAGGCAGGATGTATTTTCGTTGTTACAAATTGAACATCATTAAAGCATAGTGATTCATTACAAAAACTATATTGTGAAATATTTATTTCTAATGACAAGTAAATGAAATTTTGTCTTGAAGCATGGTGTAGCATGGGTAACAGTCTTCACGCTGGGTACTCTCATCTGTGGGCGTATCTGCATGTGGATGGACCCGCGTGGAGACGGATAGAGGAGAGGTGTCTCAGTTCTTAAGACCATCGGAAATATGTGTTTTCCGATAGTCTGAGGTGACCCCTGTGAAAGGATCATTCACCCTCAAAGGGGTCGGGACCCACAAGCTGAGAACTGCTGCTCTACCAGCTTATAACTAGAACTCCAGTGTATCCCAGGTGCCCTTCACTCATATCACCAAAAAAAATCACTGCCATCAAGTAGATCCTGACTCACAGGACCCTGTAGGACAGGGTAGAACTGCCCCCGCGCGCGCGTTTCCAAAACTGTAACTCCTCGCGGGAGTAGAAAGCCCGGTCTTTCTCCCATGGGGCAGCTGGTGGTTTCATACTGACGGCCTTTTGGTTAGCAGCCCAAAGCATAACCACTACGCCACAGGCTCCAAGTTCACTGGTGAGCAGTTGTGTAAGATATGCTTGTGAGGCTGGGCTTCTCCCGGGCTCTGCCATCACTAAGAGAACAACATGCACCAAGCAGCAGGGTGGTTCGATAGTCAGAGGCCTTGGGAGCAGAACGGAGCCATCCTGCAGCTTGGAGCCAAACGGAGTCTCAGCCCAATCCAACCAGCCAAGTCCCAGCCAACTCAGAGAAATGCGGATGGTTGGAAGTTTGGGGTTGCTTGTTATGCAGAATCCATCAGGTGAAGCTAGCTGAAAAGAGTGCTTCATGTCTCAGGTCTGGGCGCAGTGATGTCACTGAAACGGGGTGTGAATGACAAAGAGAACCCAGTCACGGGAACAATCAAAAGGAAGAGCCTTCTGGGTAGAGAACACACTGCTGCAGAGTTCCTAAAATACAGCTCACGAGATCCACATGACGTGATGGCACCTGTCCTTGCATGCACCCGCTGATGCATGGGTGTGCATCTCCCCACGAGGCACCTGAGATCAGGGTGTGTCCCTGACTCACATCTGTAGCCCCAGACCTGGCACAGAGCTGCATGCATGGCCACAGGAGCTTAAAGAGGCTGAAGAGAGGCATTCCTCTTGGTGAGGACCCAAAACCTAGCTAACAAGAGGCTGCAGGAGTAGTAGTCTCCAGAGGGGCCATCTAGTCGTGCAGGAGATGGTTGGCGGTGCCTGGCGACATTTTTGTCACAACTCTGGAGAGAAGCCACTAATGGCACCTAGCGGGAAGAGGCCAGAGACGCTGCCGAGCATTTTCCAGGGCACAAGACACCCTGCACAAGACAGACGTATCTGGCCCCGAATGTCAACGGTCCGGAAGTTGAGATGTCCGAGCGGCGGGCAATGCCTTCTTCCGTTCAGACTCCTGAGGAGTCTCACGGGATGCCTTCTTTAACCGTTTGACATGGAAGAACGATGACTTGGAGGACAAGCACCGGACACACAGATTTACTGTGAGAGGACCGGACCGCAGAGCTTCGGGGATGAGAAGCTAACGCTACTGGTATCTGCTGACCACAGAGGCAAGAGCCTGATGTACGTGCCCACAATGACGAGGCGATCCAAACGACTGAGCTCAGGGAAGGCCCTCGGGAATCCCGGTCTCGCTGCCGAATTCCACACAGATGGACCCTCACGTTCAGCATCTGGCTTAACCCAGTGGTTATTCACTTCGCGTCCAAGCGCTGGGTTTGAACGCCTGCAACCAGGGCAGCAAGTCCATTACTTCCAACAGACCCTGCAAAGGGTCTTAACCCCCGACGGTGACGGACCACAGCCTGACCCAAAGCATCACTTCTGAGCGCTTCCCAAAAGAAGCAGAAACCAGCGAGGCACAACGCCCAGGCCTTCTCTAGCTCTGATGAATATGCATTGCTTAGTCAGTCATCTCTCCCTCCAGATCATTCGATTCCCACTCTACCTGAAGCATTCTCTCTGAAAACCCTTTGATCATGTTTGACTTCAGAGCCTTCTTTAAAAAGCGGTCGATCCAACCTTATTGTGTTCATGGTGGGTGGCAGATACTGTGCTGGGGACCTGGAGATGAAGGGGGGCCGGGGGAGAAGACCTCAAGGAGCTCAACCCTGCTGGGGGTAAAGAAAGTTCTGGTAAACGGAAGGGGAACAGATTAATTCAGGGAGAGGAGGGCAGGGCAGTAAAGGCTTTCCAGTGGCAGTGAAACAAGCAGAGTACACTCAATTGCAGGTTTTGGCGCAGTCTGGAAGCATGAAGCTTTTATGTACACGTATATTTTAATAGATTAATTTGGAATGACGAATGCCCTGGCGGTATAGTGGGTTACGTGTGGGGCTGCTAGCCTCCAGGCCAGCAGTTCAAACCCACCAGCTGCTCCTCGGGAGAAAGATGAGGCTGTCTACTCCCATGGAGATCTACAGCCTCTGAAACCCACAGGGGCAGTTCTCCTCTGCCCTAAAAGGTCTCTCTGAGTCAGAATCAACTCAATAGCAGTGGTTGGTAGGTTGGACTGGTCAATAAAGCAGAGGCAAAAAAAAATTAAGGACCGCTCTGAGAGCAGAGGGCCACGAGGGCTCAGTGATAGAATTCTCATTTCCCACGATGCTGGTTCCATTCACGGCCAACAG